GCTCCTGAGCAGATCTGTAACTTCAAGGTTAAGATAAGACACATTCCATCAGAACTATGTCGTCATCCTTGCCAGCTTCTGATCTGTGACTGTCCAGGAGATTTACAAGACAATTGCATGCCATTCTTTACAGAATATTATGGTTGGACTCTGACTCCTGGCATCGGGCCCAATTAGATTTGTCAGCTGTTACAAAAACCATTTCCCAAAGAATAAGGGCCCTCAGCCATGTGCCCTTTAGGCAGGTCTTAAGAGTGGGTAGAGGGAATTGATCCCTTTATTCCCTGGTGGTTTAGGGAGAAGGGTGGACTCCAGAATATTTTTATCCCTTTCTTCCTTGAACTCACTTTTTTTTTTTTTCCTGAAGGTTAGTGTTTCTCTCATTCTGTCCTGTCCTTTATTCCTTCACAGGATTTACTATTAATCAGTATTTTCATTCTGCCATTTCCTATGCTTTTCTGGGTTTTAAGGCATAAGAACAAGTATTTTACCCTTGAGAGAGAATGTATCTGCCTTTCTCTCAAGGTTTATTAGTTTGCTGTTGTCTAATTAACAAAGACACTGTTCCTCCTTTCTTGCTGTCTACCTAACATGATAAGCGGCAGGAGTTACTGCATGTGATATGGTTTAATGGCTTAGGAATTTGAAAGGTCATATTTCCTGCTGCTGTTGTATTCTGCCCTATAATATTTTTACAAAAGCTTCTCTTTAAGGGACTGAACAGCTCTTTGGTTTCAACATAAACACACCCTTTCCCTAGGAGGTAGGCAGTGGGGATATATTTGGCCCAGTTTAGTGATTCTAGAGTGAGATCAAAATTTATTTACTGAGATCACACATGGTAAGTTAATCACAGAATCAGAACCTTGATCTAATTTCTTTGGCATGGTTTTCACATAAGAGTTAAACAAAAAAATTTTAACATCCACAGCTGAAAGTCTTCAAATTTTTAAAAAGTTATCGGTTGAGAGAGAGAGAGAAGCATGGTTTGTTGTTCCACTTACTTACGCATTCATTGGTTGATTCTTATATGTGCCTTGACCAGAGATCAAACCCAAAACCTTAGTATGTTGGGATGAACCTCTACCCAGCTGAGCTACCCAGCCAGGGTTAAAAGTCTTTTTAAAAGAAAGGGTTTATCAGGCCTTAGGGCAAGGAGTCTGTCTAAACCGCCAGCAGCATGGCTAGGTAGACAACATGTCCATTGCCCAGTTTTTATACATCAGGTAGGGAGGAGAAAGATGTGACTATTCTGAAAGTGTTTATTTACATTAGCTACAGACAAAGGGGGTGGGAGTAGGTGAAACAGGGCTAGTTCTGGGATAGGTGCAGTAGGGTCCTTGAAGAAGTGCCCACTCCTGTGGATTAGCTGTGGGCAGCAGATTAGAAAATTGATGTGTAAATAAGATGCATAGACAGACTCCTGGGATTTGTGGCACCTGGCTATTCTCTCTTGGATAATCTCAGAAATAGCCACCTGGAAATTAATCCTAAATTCCAACAGATACACAGGAAATTTGAGCATTCTTTTGTCAGAGCTGATTGATCCACAGTTATTAACAGACTAATGTTCTTTCGCTTTCTGGCTGCTATAATTTTAATTTAGAACGTCTCAGAATATTTTTCTCGTCATCCTTTAACTATAGGAAGTAAAAAGAAAAAAGAAAAAAAAAACAATTTAGGAAGCCCTGGCTGGTGAGGCTCAGTTGGTTGGAGCATTGTCCTGTAAACCAAAAGGTCACAGGTTTGATTCTGGTCAGGGCAGTCTGGGTTGGGGGGTTTGGTCTCAGGTCTGGGTGCCAAGAGGCCACCTATGGATGTTTATCTACCTCTCTTTCCTCCTCCCTTTCTCTCTCAAATCAATGGGCATGTCCTGGGGTGAGGATTTTAAAAAAAAAAAAAAAAGTTAGGAAGCCCTGGCATTCTAGCTCAGTTGGTTAGAGCACCGTCCTGATACTCGAATACTGTCAGTTTGATCCCAGGTCAGTGCACAAACAAGAAACAATCAATGAGTGTATAAATAATGGCAAGGAGATGTCTCTCTCAAATTAAAAAAAAAATTTAAGTTAGAAGTCAAAAAGGGAAACTTGGAGATTTCATGATGGGTCCATTCAAAGTTGAGGAAATCTTTTGTAGTTGAAAACTGTCTGTTCTTTTACCCTATAATTTTTTCTGTTTGATAACCAAATAATCACCATTCTCTGCTTTTTCCTCAGTCAGGTTGTTTTTGATGTCCCTTTTCTTCATCTTATGGCAGCCATCTCTGGCTCTAAAGATGAGTATCTATAAAGTAGAGCAGGGTTTTGGAGCTCTCTAACATGTTCTGTAGGCTCAGAAAAAAATACAAATATATGGGACTGCAAGCTCTAAGTATCTTTTCTTTATCTCAGTTTTCTTTTTCTCAAGTATTAGGAATTATTGATATAAGTAATTTTTAGTGATACATTTTTTTGGATGATTAGTTATCTTAAAATTTGTTATATAACAAGAACAACTAATGAGAAGTGGCTTTAACTGTGATAGTTGTGACTGAACTGCTCTCCTCCCTTTTAAAACTACTTAAGGGTTAATTTTTTTTTTCTGTCTATAATTTTAGTTGAAAGGTTCTTTGGTAGTTTTTCAAGGCTCTGGGTTCTGTTTCTTTATCTAGTAATCTCCCAAAGGACAGTTATGTAGTATCCCAAATACTCTCCTTCCACTTTTTGTGTTATCTCTCCCCGCCCCCAAGCAAGTGACAGATGGTAGAAGAGGCCTTGTGTAAAGTGCTTCTGGTGGGCTGGATTAAGGGGTGGTGGTTTGACCCAATACTGTTGTAGAAGGACCTAACCTTTCCCCTCCCCCGTCCTGTTGAGCTATAATCCTGTTAGATGATTTTAAAATGCTATTGATTAATTCCCAGTGCTCTTAGAGGAATAAGCATAAATTTTGGATTTAAAACCCAAGAACCAGTTCTCTTGAGTTCCGATGTCCTTAGCCTTGAGGCCAAAGTGGGTGCCTTTCAACTTCTTCACTTGGTCTTCACTGAAAAGGAAAGTTAAGGCTTTTTAACTTTTCAGTTTGCCTCTCCCCCTCTTAGTCTAGTACTGCTGCCAGTTGCCATGGTAACGGACTGGGACAGCTGCGCAGTGGCGCCCAGGCAGCTGGGTGGGGGCGGGGGAGCTGCCAGCCCGCCAAGTCCCAGACCTGGGAGGGGAGGTCCCTCCTGTTAGCCCAGAGGGAAAGAAAGAATCGGGGCGATCCGGTAGGTAAATGAGGGAACCCCCATTCATCTTCTCCCTTTGGGGTGTCTCCGCTGCATGAAGGTATAAAGGGAGATTTTCCTCTTTTCTCCCTCAAACTGAAGAACACATATGTAAATCCTTGTTTTTCCTCGTGAGGCAGGGGAGGCCATGGCCACAATGCTTAACTGCATGCATCTAACCCAGGGCTGGTTTTAACCCCAGCGCTCTGACCTAAACTGCTCAGCTCCCGGAAATTCCAAGGTGAGTGGGGTGGGGTGGGGTACTCTCCCTGGAATATGACATTTCCTGTCTCTGGTGAGGTCGCAGGCTGTTTTTATTTTAAATAAATCAAATCAGATATTTGTTCTTGAAGCTACGACTCTCTTCTACATTCATGGAAAAATTATTTTGAAACCCCTTCCATCCTCTCGCCCACCCCCCTCTTCCAAATAAAGAATTTTAATGAAAACTTAGTTTTATTACAGGGCAATAATGGGTACAGGCCGTATTTTGGGTGGGCAGACCTATTGCTAGCAAATTCTGCAGGTACAGTTTTCAACTATATTCTTGGAATAATTCCTTCAAATTTGCAATTTGAAGTAAATTAGTAAATGCAACTTTTTATGCTACTTGACCTGAACAAAATCCTGAGATTAGAGTCACCTTCCCTAATCCTGGGAATGGTCTTCTGGTGGAGATGGAAATATTTGTAGAAAGTGCCAAAAAGAATCTGTAAAGATTACAACAAAATGAATATGAAGTTCAGCTAAGAAAACAATTCCTGGTACTCTGTAATCCAGACTGTAGGCACCATTTAGCATGGTTAAAGAATTCTTAAAAATGATTATGGTAACAACGTGGGAATTTTTTAAAAAAACCCTAGATTCTCTGTTGAGTACCCCCTGGTTGTGCATATTTCTGAGCTTAACTCAATTTCCATTTGTGTTGCATTCAGCTTTCCTTGGGCCAATGAATGGTTCCTCTGTGTTTTGAGGCTTCATGTTGATGTGAGTCTGGGGCCAGACTTCTTTTTCCTCCTCCTCATTCTTTGGCCTGAAGTCAACTCCAGTTAAGAGGAGAGGTACCTTCTTAACTATTTGGATTAGTTGAGCCTTGGGGATTACTGAACAATCCAATGACTAATTTTGATTTTTAGGATTAAAAACATTTTTTTTCTCCTCCCTGCCTCCCTCCCATCCCTGGAATGAGAAAGGAGGCTTAGTGTGTTTGAGATATCAATCTTGTTTTTGTAAACTGATGGATGCTCTGAAAAGACAAGCTCAATTTGTTTAAGGGAAATGTACACCATGTCACTGAAAATCTGAAAGATGCCTGAGCAGGCCTTTTTTGTGCTGCTAAGAGACCAACCAATCAGGATGCTAAGAGCAGAGGAAAGTTACATATTGGTGCCTTTTCTTTTCTCATTTTTATAAAGAACCTTATTTAATTTGGAGGGAAAGGTTTTACTTCTATTACGGTTGTTTTAACTGCAAGTTTTCCACATTTCTGAGTCCCTGGCTTGTAAACAGTTACAGAAGTAGCCAGGAGCAACATGCCACACTACTTGTCTTTTGGAATCTGAAGTTAGAGGAATTAGACAATCGTGCCATCTAATTTTGGTCCTGTTAGTCGAAGAGAAAGTTGTGCTTGGGAAAGTGGGAATAGACCCATTTTTTGGTTGTTAGGAATTTAGGAATTGTATGTAGAGTACTTCAAGACCTGAGAGAATAGTATGTGGCAGTTGTGTTCTACCCTTTGCATCTCATCAAAAAGAGAAACTTGTCCTGGTCTATGCTTTCTCTGCTCCCCCTGTATTCTTGTAACAGGGAAGTCTGCAGGATACACAGCAGTCTCCCTCTCAGTTTAGGAGGACTATCTGAGTATAGGGCTGCCTCTTAATGGCACGAGAGGGCAATTTAAAAAAAGAAGAGAAGACAGAAAGTTAACTCCTCACATGTGTCCTGACCATTTTGTCTTTCCTGTTTGCAGGAACCTAGTGGCCTTAGTCCTCAGGTGGAACAGCGTGCGACATGGGAAAGAAAACCAAGCGAACAGCTGACAGTTCTTCTTCAGAGGATGAGGAGGAGTACGTCGTGGAGAAGGTGCTAGATAGGCGTGTGGTTAAGGGGCAAGTGGAATATCTGCTGAAGTGGAAAGGCTTTTCTGAGTAAGTGCCTTCTCTTAGGCCTTAGGACTCTACAGAAGTAGACACCTGTGGTTTATTTCCCAATGAACAACACCGTAGGGAAATAAACCTTTTGTCTTTTTCTTCTTGCATTTGCACTCCTTTCCTAAGAGTCAGAAGACAGCGATAAACTGAACAAAGTCTTCCTTCTTTTTGGAGCTAGTATTCTAATGATAATGCTTTTGAGAGCAGTATCATGAATTGGTTAGGAACATAGACTTTGGACCCAGATTGCCTGGGTTCAGCTTCCCACCACCACCACTTTGACATGATATGGGACCTTGGTTAAGTTCCTTAATCTTTTTTTTCTTCTCAATATTATAGGGATAAGACATGATAGTTGTCTTACAGATGTTGGGTAGATACACAGAGCCTGACACATAAGCTCAGTGTAAGTAGAAATTTACTGTTAACTACTCTTTATACATGCATTGAATAAGATGAAGATGATAATGTCGTCATCACCATGGACTCCAAAGCCCATAGCTATCCAAAGCCCTAGATCTTAGAATTGTCCTGGAATAAAGTACTTTTTAAAAATATATATTTTATTTATATTTAGAGCAAGGGGAAGGGAGAGAGAGAAAGAGACGGAGAGAAACATCAGTGTGGTTGCCTCTTGTGTGGACTCTACTGGGGACCTGGCCTACATCCCAGGCATGTGCCCTGACTGGGAATCAAACCAGTGACCCTTTGGTTTGCAGGCTGGCACTTAGTCCACTGAGCCACACCAGCCAGGACCTAGGCTGAAGTACTTAATGAGGCTTAAATCTCAGGCCACAGTCCCATCCCATTGTATTCCTCCCGTGTGTGTGTGTGTTTTAAATCCTCATCCAAGATTATGTTTATTGATTTTAGAGAGAGGAAGGGGAAGAGAGAGAAAGAAACATTGATGTGAGAGAGAAATATCTCTCAGTTGCCCCTGGTACCTACCCTGACTGGGGATCAAACTGCAACCTTTTTGGACGACACTGCAACCTTTTTGGATGACACTGCACCTACTAAACCACTGGGCTAGGGCCATATTTATTTTTGAAAAAATTTAAATATACAGCTGAGGCAAAAGAAGTTGAGTGAACACTCAGATATATTCCACCTAGTTTCTACAATTAACATTTTACTATAACTGATTAATCTTACTCCTTTATCCATCAATCTATTTAAAAAACCCTTGAAAACCCTCCTTTTTTAAGTCAGCTATAAGAATAATACTGAAGTGATGACTAGAATGTCTGTTAGTAACTGGCTTTATGCTGAAGCACTAAAGTAGATTATTCTTTTCTTTGGAATAACTAGAACTAGATACATTGAAGCATAGAAGACATAACTTGAAAGGTAATATGTGAAGCTGTGTAATCATTTGGCATTTTGCCCCAATTGCTGGTTAATTTTTTTATTTTACTAATTTATTTAAAAATTTTTTTGAAGATTTTATGTATTTTTTAGAGAGAGGGGAAGGGAGGGAGAAGGGGAGAGAAACATCGATGTATGAGAGCTACATTGAGATATGGCAGTCCGTTGACTCTTGCATGCCCCCTCCCAGGGACCTGGCCCACAACCCAGGCATGTGCCCCTGACTGGTAATTGTACCTTCAACCTTTTGGTTCACAGGCTGGTGCTCAGTCCACTGAGCCACAACAGCCAGGGACACTTGCTGGTTAAGTGTTCTCTTAGGATGCCTGATTACAAAGAACATATTTCTCATAACCAATGAACTGACAAAAAATGGTTTAGGATCCTTAGAGTGGTACTGTCCAATAGAAATATAATGCAAGCCACAAGTGTAATTTTATTTCATTTTTATTTTTTAATTTCTTTTGAAGATTTTATTTACTTTTAGAGAGAGGGGAAGGGAAGGAAAAAGAGAGGGAGGAAAACATTAATGTGCAAAGAGATACATTGATTGGTTGACTCTCACATGTTGCTGACTGGAGACCTGGCCCACAACCGAGTCACGTGTCCTGACTGGGAATCAACTAGTGACCTTCTGGTTCGCAGGCCAGAGCTCAATCCATGGAGCCACACCAGCCATGATACAATTGTAATTTTAAATTTTGGGGTGGCCACAGTAAAAAAAGTAATTAATTTTAATAATATATTTTATCTAACACAATATACAAAATGATATTTCAACAGTAATTAATTTTAAAATTGTTGAAATACTTTAAATTATTTTTTCATACTAAATCTTCAAAATTTGATATGTATTTTACCTTTTAATAACACATCTCACTCCAGACTTGTCACCTTTCAAATCCTCAGTAGTCACATATTAAACATCACAGCTTTAAAGTGTAGGACTTAAATATACTAAAAGATTTAATGTTTTGACAGTACCTTTGGACAAAGCATGAATCAGGAGCCTATGGAACATACTTAAGGTTATTTCACTATGCGAATGAATCAAAGTTTCTTATCTGGAGCACTGATTTAGGTGGGACAGTTTGTGCACTATAGGATGCTTAGCACTAAAGGTGAGTAACATGGCAATCGGAATATGCCCTCCATATTTCTAAAGAAAGATAAAAGAAGGAAAGACAAGGCTTGGGGTAGACAGATTAAGCATTTATCCTTTGTCAGAAATGCCCAGGATTTTATTAAAGATTGAAACAAATTTTGCACCTTCACCCTTGTTTATATCTAAGTATCTATTGTTTGCTAGGCAGTGGTCAGGTTCTGCTTTGGTTGATATACTGTAGAAACAGCAATATCATTATGGTTGGAAAAGTGATAATCCCATTGTAGAACTGGCTTTTTGTTCTGTGAAAAGGGACTCTCCTACCCCTATATCTAGTGTTGGCATGCCTTTGATTTTGGTACCTTAATTTCTTCTGGTATAGTAAACTGTATATATAGTCTGTGGATTTGGGAAAAGGTTACTCTATGAGGAGATATATATATATATATACTGAAAAGGGGGTATGAACAAAAAAGGATTTTCTTGTTTTAGCTCAAATGATTTAAAAAATTGTCTCATTCTTAAGCTACTTTTGCAGAACTTTAAGTAAGTCTAGGATAAATATCTCAATTTTTTTTTTCATTCTGCTTTTTATTTGAGTCATGTCTTATGTTCAAACCATTCCTAGCCTGGCTGGTATAGCTCAGTGGATGGAGTGCGGGCCTGCAAACCAGAGTATCGCGGTTCGATTCCCAGTCAGGGTACATACCGGGTTGCAGGCCAGTTCCCAGCAGGGGACACACAAGAGGCAACAGTACATTGATATTTCTTTCCCTCTCTCCTTCCCTTCCCCTCTAAAGATAAATAAATAAAATATTTTTAAAAAATTTTCTGTATAGAGGTACTTTACTTTAAAAATAAGAACAATACAATATCTAAAATGGATAGTACATAAAAATGTTCCCAAGTCAGTGAGGGTATTGTAGAAATTGCTTCTCTGATATATTTATAGGTGTATTTTATTTTATTCATTTTTAAAGATTTTATTTATTTAAAAAATATATTTATTTTTTTTATTTTTGAGAGAGGGGAAGGGAGGGAGAGAAACATCAGTGTGTGGTTGCCTCTCGTGTGCCCCACAATGGGGACCTGAACTGCAGCCCAGGTGTGTGCCTTGACTGGGAATAGAACCGGTGACCCTTTGCTTTGTAGTCCAGGGCTCAATCCACTGAGCCACACCTGCCAGGGCTAATTTATTTATTTTTTAGACAGAGGGGAAGATAGGGAGAAAGAGAGGGAGAGAAACATCAATGGGTGATTGCCTCTTGTGTAACCCCTACTGGGGACCTGGCCCCCAACCCAGTTGTGTACCCTGACCGGAAACTGAGCCAGCAACCCTTTGGTTCACAGGCCAGTGCTCAGTCCACTAAGCCACTCCAGCTAGGGCTATAGGTGTATTTTAATATAAATTAGTCCTTATATGGAACCAGAAGAACATTTGTCACTGGCTAGGAATGAAGAAGATGTCTGGTTTAGTTTTTCTCATATAGGTACATTTCTTATTTGATTTCATAAGCTTTATGATGGAGTTGAGGGTTTGGTTTTTTAAAATCCATGCCAGGAATACAGAGAACAACTGTGAATACCAACTATTTGTTAACCTCATAATAGGACTCCCTTGATCTAGGTTTAATTAGACCCAACTATGTAGTTTGGGGGTTGTTTTTTATTTTACTTATTAATGTAACAGTGTGTTTTTGACTACCTAGTGACAGTAGGCTTGAATCCAGACCATTGAGTTAATGTACTACAGTTTCCACTTCTGAGTCTTCTCCGTATGGTTTGTCTATATTCTAACGGTTTAAGCCTTTACTGCTTTTTTTCTAAATAACTATTTCTAATCCTCCAAACTTTTGTTGATATTTCTCCTAAATATAAGTAACATTTAATGGGGGGAGGGCATATGATTTATTAGTGTCTTCTCATGATTTGTATAGATGATTATATGTATAAAATCATTATTTTGCCATTTTTGAAGAATTAATATTTGAGTTTTATCGAAGAATAGTTTACAACCCATAAATATCATTCATTGAAAGTGTAAAATTCAATTATTTTTTTTATCCTCGTCTGAGGATATGTTTATTGATTTGAGAGAAACATCAGCGTGAGAGAGAAACATTGATTGGTTTCCTCCCACATGAACCCTGACTGGGGCTCGAACCTGTAATCTTGTGGTGTATGGGATGGTGCTTCAGCCAACTGAGTTGTGCAACCATTTCCACACTGTAGTTTTAGAACATTTCTATAACTTCCCCAAATTTCTGTGAGCC